GCGCGCGACACGCAGAGCACCCAGGCCACCAGCAGCAGCACCCTCTTCCACCCCCCGCCCGCCTTTCCCACGTCCTCCACGCCCGTCAATGGCGGGCCCGTCGAAGCCTCCGACAATGTCCTCAACAAGCGGGCCGACAAGGACACCTCGCTGTTCCAGCGCTGCCTGACGCTGCAGATGCGCCTGCGCTTCATCCCGGGCTTCGACCGCTGGATCGCCGAGGAGGAGGGCAAGGCCGACGACGATGCCGACCCCGTCACGCTGCTCTGGCGCACCTTCCGCCGCGGCTACCCGCTGATGGAGCTGTACAACGCCCTGGGGCCCCGCACGCTGCTGAGCATCCCCAGCTCCAAGCAGGACGAGAAGAGCCTCAAGAAGAACGAGAAGATGGCCTGCTACAAGTTCATCCAGAGCTGCGTCGCCGAGCTGGGCATCCCCCAGGAGAGCTGCTTCATCCTCGGCGACCTGTACGGTGACGACACAACTGGTTTTGTGAAGGTGAGCCCGCACGACGAGACTGTGGGGTAGGCCCGCGCTAACACATCCCCAGGTCACCAACGTGGTCAACAAAGTGCTCGACGAGCTCGTCGCCCAGGGCAAGATCGCTGGCGTTGCCGAGACCCTCGAGAACGTCGGCGGCGTCGTCACCAAGCGCACCCAGCGCGAGCACATTATCGACGAGCTGGTCAAGACGGAGCGCACCTACGTGCAGCATCTCGAGCTGCTGCAGGAGTTCAAGAAGCTGGTCGAAGAGAAGGGCGTCATCAGCGGCGACCAGGTGCACGACATCTTCCTCAACCTCAACGCCCTCCTCGACTTCCAGCGCCGCTTCCTCATCCGCGTCGAGCAGACCAATGCACAGCACCCGGACGAGCAAAATTGGGGCAACCTCTTCGTGCTATATAAAGATGCCTTCAAGGTCTACGAGCCGTATATCGCGAACCAGAAGAAGTGCGAGCAGATCGCCATGCGCGAATTCGACAAGCTGAAGGAGACGGGTGGGCCGCCAGAGATGCGACAGATGGTGGAATCGCCGACTCTACTCGCATCTTTCCTCCTGAAGCCCTTCCAACGACTTACCAAATACCCGCTCCTACTTCAGGTATGATATTAAAACCCGGAGCTCAGAAACCCATCTCTAACACACTGCAGCAACTGCGCGACAAGGGCGACCTCGACGAAGGCCGACGCGAAGACATCTCCAAGGGCATCGAAGCAGCCTCCTCCGTACTCGCAGGCACCAACGACGCGATTGCTCGGGAAGAACGCGTCGAGGCGGTTGAGGAGCTCAGGACGCTTGTAGAAGACTGGAAGGGCCACCGAATCGAAGGTTTCGGAGACCTGCTTCTGCACGGCCAGTACACAGTGCTGAAGGGCGAGAGCATGACTTCCAAGAACGAAGAGCGCGAGGTAGGCACAACCACCGATCAAACCTCCGTACATCACTAATTCCCCACAGTACAAGATTTACCTCTTTGAAATGATACTTCTCTGCTGCAAAGAGATCAACGTCAACAAGCCAAAGAACAAAATGTCCACCCGAACCCTGGTCACCAAAGACGGAAAGCCCAAGCTGCAGCTCAAAGGCCGCATCTTCATGCAAAACGTCACAGAGACCATCTCCCTACAGAAGCCAGGTGCGCTTGAAATCCTCCACTAGCTTTGTATCCGCTAACCATTCAGGCTCCTACACATGTCAGATCTTCTGGAAGGGCGACCCTGGAATCGAAAACTTCATCATCAAATTCACCTCCGAGGAAACCATGAAAAAGTGGGCCATGCAGGTCGATACCCAGCGCCGCGTGTGGAAGGACCAGGCGCGCACCAGTGCCAGCACCACAGCCTCCAAGCCATCAGATACCCAGTTCGCGTACATGCGCGACCAAGTGCTCGAAAACCCCTACCAGGAAGACGACGATGAAGATGGCGACGAGGACATTGACCCCGTCACAGGCTATCCCTACAGACAAAACAGTTCCACGCCCTCGTTGCGTTCGCGGTCAACGACTGGTGAAAGCGGCCCTCCAGAGGGAGACTCAAGGGTACCGCCTCCACGTTTTCCTATGGGCTACAACGGTCAGCCAGCACTAACCCTGCGCACCCAGCAGATACAGAATGCCTCCAATAATGAATCCTACTTCTCACCTACGGCAGAAACACCAATGCAAACTCCCATGTCAACACACTCCAATGCCCGCACAAGCTCGTCGTCGAACGGCACATTCCCCTTCCCTCGTCAAGCTCCGCCAAACGGATATTCGCACGATGAGAACAACCGGCACACTGCTCCTGCTCAGTCGCGCCACGGATCCAGGGGCGAAAATGTTCAACATCCCCAAGGCCGTGCGATGCAACGCCCGTCACTTCCGGCCAATTCCACTCTTTCACAGCAAGGTAGATTGCGGGCAGCTAGTAGCCCTGACATCAACTCACATCTCCAAGGACAAACACGAAGAGCGCCGCCGTCACAGCCAGTACCAGATGTGCCACCTTTCCCCACCCACTACGCCTACAATGCCGCGATTGTCAACCGAAGTAACAGTAACTCGCCCAACAACCCACCGCCACGCGCTGCAACCCAGTCACCAGCGATCCAAAGAGACCGCTTGATACAGCAACGAACCGCCGCGGAGTTGGCCAACGCGAACAACGAGTACCACAACAATGCCATGCGCCGCGATCCGAACTACCCAATACGTACAATGACACCAGCATCATCATTTGAGCGAAGTCAGGGCACTTTGACACCCGCATCTATGGATTCACGAAACATGTCGCCACCGCTTGGCCAAGACTCAAGCATACCGACACAACTCAAAGTCAAGGTGCACTGCCCATCAGCCGGGAGCTCGATGGTTCTGGTTGTCAGCACCAACATCAGCTACCAGTCGCTCAAAGATCGCATCGACGCCAAGCTCCAGCGATCGACATCCGTCTCACTTGGCTCCGGCCAAGTCAAGCTAAAGTACCTGGACAGCGACAACACATACGTCAGCATTCAATGCGACGACGACGTACAAGAGGCGTTTGAGAACTGGAAAGAGCAGCAAAGCAATCTCAACCCCGGCGGCGGCCTCGGCGAGATTGAACTGTTCTGCCAACGGTAAATTCTGTTATTACACTGCTTTCCGGCATCACGGGGCGCTATTACACCATTTGGGGCATTGATTCAGGCGTTTCTCCACGGCGTGCTCGGCATACACCGCTTGCTCTTTTACTCTCTCTTCCCGTTCCATGATATATCCTAGTGGCAAACATACCCTTCTTGCCCCGGCGAAATTTGGGTTTGTGTCTGTATGTGGAGGGAGGCTGGCTTCACAAATACCTCTTTTTTGCTCTTCTCTCTTCTACCGACCGAACGAACGGCACTATCGCATCATCCTACCCTAACACACATTTGCGGGATTCAGAGCTGGTTGGGGGAAATCAGCTGGTTCTGTCTGCGTGCGTTTGCCCTTCACAACAGACGAGGATGTCTCGTGCTGCGCTTGTTATACTCTGAAAGACATGTTTTATCTATACCACGAGCTTCCGGTTTTCTTTAGCTGCTTCGTAGGCGGTGCCGGCTCATCTTTTTTCTCTACTTCCTTTCTTCGACTTGAAGACTATAGGGTGGGTGGGCCTTGGGTTGTGGTATGATTGAATGATGTAATGAATGCTTTCAGTTTCTTGAGAATTTGAACTTTTTTTGTCCGCCTTTTTTTTTTCGGGGACGGCTTGGTCTGAGGTGTAGGACTAGGTCGTTGGTGCGTTTAGATTGTTGAGTTGAGGGGGTGTAGGTGTTTAAATACGATTCATTCAAGTTCTGCAAAATACCCTAACGTATGCGGGTCCTGACTTCCGTTCATCGTCACATCCTGTCTTCTCGAGGTCGTTCCTGCCTCCACCTCATAAAAGGGAAAAACTGAACACCTAGGAGCCTACGTCGCCGTTAGGCCACCAACTTCGCAAGCTTTTAACTTAATGTAGGCTCTTAGGTGTTCGGTTTTTCCCTTGAATGGGGTGCCTCACTCATCTCGTCAAACATCGAACTCCGCTCCTACTCCGAGCACCGACCAATATCTTGGCACGCCGAACATCTATCCATCCATTACCTCACCCACAAACCCTCATCTCAACACCAATATCCACATCCAACAACATTCTCTTCTAATGCCTCCTTTATACACAATCTTAAACGCGCTTCCTTCCGACGCCTCGGCGATATCCTCCCTCTTCGCACTATCATGGCAATCCCCCTTCTCGCGCCTCCAATTCGGCAACGTGGAATCACATGACTTGGCCAATGCGATGACACCTCGAATCGCGCAGCAGATAGCAGAGAAACGTATGCTGTTTATGGTTGCGCGTGAGGAGGGAAGTGAGGATGTTGTCAGTGTCGCGCAGTGGACTGTTCCTCCTCCCCCTTCCAAAGGAGAAAAGTTGGAAAGCAAGAACAAAGGAAAATTAGAGGAGACGGGTCGGGAAAAGGAAGAGAGAAAAGAAAGAGAAGCGTTTGATGAAGAGATATACCTCAACTCTCTCCCCGCATCTTGCAACACCGCTCTCATCGCGGAATTCACGACGCGTCTCGGGGTTTTACGCGAGCGCATATTACAATGTGCTCCTCATTTCCTTCTCGAGAATTTGGCGACGCATCCGGGGCATCGGGGACGGGGGTTAGCTGCGCAACTAATCGGTCATGTACTGGAATTGGCTGATGAGAGGGGTGTGGTTGTGTATCTGGAGACGGGGGAGGAGAACAAGGCGAGGGGGTTGTATGGGCGGATGGGGTTTGAAGAGAAGGAACGTGAGAGGATTGAGTTGGAGAAGTTCGCGAGTGGGAAGGAGAGGGCGAATATTGGGGTGGGAGATCTGCATACGATTATTGGGTATGTGAGGGTGCCTTCTAGGACGACATAGATTCGATTAAACTCTATAGGTGAGGTTTATCCGCCAAATTGAGCTTTCACACCGGCAGAAGGTTACCGATGCTCTTTCATCTACCCAGTACATGGCACTCAGACCCTTTTGCGCAATTTCCCCGTCACCGTGAGCCGCGCAATAAGAACGCACAATGCAGACACAGTCGCCGTCCCACCAGCATAGAAGATGGCAGGGCGATATACGTCAATGTTCTGACCCGATGCGGCACCTTGTCTACCACCAGCGGCCTCTAACAAATAACCAGCTATTGGCGCACCCATCAGATACCCCACGCTCCAACCAGTGACCGACATACTCATAGCGACGGCAGCTCTTCCAGGGCCAAAGATACCAGCGACTACCGTTGGCTGGGTGGTAAAGTACGCGCCGTTCGCAACACCGTTCAGGATTGCGAAGAGTACGAGTGGACCGAGAGTATTTGAGACTGGCCAGATCGCAAGCATGCTTGTGGCGTTGAGCACCATGACGATGACGAAGGTGTTGAGTGGGCCAAACTTGTCGCATAGAGGACCTGCAATGAACCGACCGATGGCATTGCAGGCATTGAACGCAGCGACGAGCGCAGCACCAGTACTAGAACTGAGACCAATCGACTGCGCAAATAGTGGCAGATAGTATGGCGGGACGAACAGCGCAAATACACCAATGGCACTTGCAACGAACGTGGCGATGAAGGTAAGAGACCGGAACATGGAGAGATCGACAAAAGGTATGTTCCTCAGCGGCACACGATCCTTGACCATCCACGCAGCCGGAAGACCAATAGCCCAGGTAAGCAGACCTTGTATGCGGAAAGTCCACTCGATACCGACCTTTTCGTACAGGGCGTTCAACGCAACTGCCATGACGCAGCCGCCTACGCCGCCACCCAGCTTGATAAGACCGTTTGCGAGACCGAGACGAGCGCTGAAGTACTGCACGGGGACTGTGTTGCAGACCGTCCAGTTGAGCGACATCCCAATACCGCCAATGACACTGTACGTACCGAACAGACCAGGCAGATTGGACGTGCAGAAGCTTGCTCCGATCAACCCCAAGCCCATGAGGAAGACACCGAGGAGGATTGTTGTCCGGCCACCTATCAGTCTCATGAGACGGACAGCTCCTAGTCCGTACAAAGCGCCGCCTGCGAGTCCCAAAGATCCGACGTAGGAGAGTGTAGATGGAGGCACGTCTTTTAGCGTTGAATCGAGTAACGCGGCTTGTAAGACGCCCCAGCAGTTTATGATGGCGTTGTTACAGAAACTTGTTGTTGAGGAGCCTGCGACTACTATCCATCCGTATCCGCCGTCTGGTACTGCGGTGACGGAGTAGGCTGCGTTGTCCGGTATTTCGTCATGGATGTGACTCAAAGACGACGGTCTGGAAGTTGGAGTGAAGATCTTGTTTGACGGTGGTTGCGAAGTGCCATGAAAGCTCGTGAGCTCGATGCGGTCTTCTGTGATGGTAGTAGTAGACATTTTGATGCTGTTGTCCTAGAGTCGTAGCAGGAGGGCAGACGCGGACAAACTTATGCGTGTCTTACAAAGGGCGCGTTTACACGCCTTAGACGCCAGAGTGACTGGTACTCAATGTAGCCATGCAGGTAAGCGCAGAATGCCATGGGCCGATTTGCCCTCGCTTCTTGCAGAAGGGGCTTTTCCGATGGAAAGGGAAATGAGACCTACAGCGTGAGGACTTCTCAACCACAAGCAACCATGGACTTCCAGACGTGTTCATGTGTGTACCTCTAGGATACTATTGTACTGATGCGTGTATTACGGCCCATACCTCCAGAGCATGTATTACTTCTGCTTCTCTCGGGCTGTTGTCGCATCGCATGTATTATGTTCCCATTGCTGCATTCACCGATTCAATTGCTCAAGTTGATCGTGAGACATGGAAGGATGGATCAGTAGACGACTGCTTTCCGACGCATAACTTCGTTGGATGGTAGTCCGTCCCAGATTGCTGAAGAACAAAGCGGGGAAGCTGCGGAGGTGCGCTAGTGCGTGATTAGTCATTTAAGCTTCCCAGGGTCCAAGGGTCCACGAGCTATCGACTGTCTAGCACTCTGGCACTTACCACACGCTTTCGAGTCCTACACGTCTCACGATTATTCAAACTACAGACCATCAGCATGTGTAGTTGTCCTGTCCGAGCTCTCGGTGCTTTCACGCTGTGCAAGCCGTGAGACCAAGTTTGCTCCCTCAACTGCCCGGTTTTCCAGGCTAGGCGCGCTCGGTGCCCACTCGCTGAGACGCGACACGCCTCATCCAACATCGCATCCTTGATCAGTCCACGTCATGGCACGTGGCACAATCTATAGACAGCATATAGAGCCGTAGCATACCAGACCGTTTGCTGACACTTCGTACCTATCAACACATAGCTTATCTACTGCATAACCTACAGTCACAGCATTCACAATGGCAACAGAAGACACCGTCGACCTGAGCGCATCGCACGCGCCCCAGCAAGCGTCCCTCGAGGCATTCACCTCCATCCTCGACACCGTGAAAAGCGAACTCATAAAACTCCGCCGCGACCATGACAGTAAAGCCTCTCTGTCCCGCCTTTCCCCCTCCGTCCTCTAACGAACACCTTCCAGAGCACGAACCCGAATACTTCCGCGCCGTCTCGCACCTCTCCGACAGCGACCTGGCTTCCTTCACCGCCGACGACCTCGAATCCGTCCGCGTAGCCGTAACAGCATACGGACTGCATCTCTTCGGCAAAGTCAAACTGCCAGCTCTAGACAACGGATACATCCACATTCGCATCTTTGGGTCTGCGAAAGATGGGACAGATGGAAGTAGTCTTGACGAGAGGGAGTATAGTTTGCATAGTATACATACAGAGGAGGTGGTCAAGGAGGATGGAGATAGGGTTTATAGAGCGGTGTTTGCGAAGGAGGATGAGTTGGAGTGGTTTGAGACTTGATCGCTGTACTGTGTATATCTAGATAACGAATGGGGAACTTCGGAAGGTATCTACAAGTCCTCCAGGCCTAAAGCCGCATTCACCTCCAAGATGCGTTCGTGAACCATGTTAAGGGTCATCTTGCCAAACTCCTTGAACGCCTTGTGGTCGATTTGCCCGTTCAGCATCTCAAGCTCGTGGCGGTAGGCTTGGCGAAGACCAAACATCTTTGCAATCTCATTGTTGATGCTCTTCAGACTATCATCTCTGCTCTCTCGTCGCTTGTTTGCCTCCCCCAGCCAGTACTCTTGAGCGCCCGGCAAGCGACGCATGGTTTCGTACACGGGGATCATTTCGACATCTGAGCGATATAGGTTGACGAGTCGATTGATGCGGAAATCGTTCTCGGTATTGAAGTAATCTTTGATGCCGATGAAGGCTGTCATGGTGTTGACAAAAGCTTGCCATTTCGCGAACAGCGCCTCGATCTTGCTCAATGCTGACGGGGAAGAGAAATCACCCTCATTGGTGATTTTGGCACCAATGCTATCGAGATTCCTGGCGAGCTCGACGAAAGCGGAAGGAGCGCAGTTGCCTGCATTTGCGTTCAGCCATTCGGCCTCGCGTGCATTGATGGCGGCAGTCAGCTCTCTGATCCTACTAGAGCAGTCTTCTGAGACGGCCTTTTGTGGCCTTTTGGTCCCATGCTCCTTTGGAGCGACCATGGGGGCCTCCTGCACTGCGTGCTCTTGACCGATCCTGGCGACTACGTCGCCGTCAACGGAGGAAGAAGTGATAGGCTCCAAGCTATTGTCGGCGGCAACCTCATCAATCTGCTCAGGGGTTTTGAGGTCTTGAACCTCTGAAGTCTGGCTGGCGACAACATCACCAGCCGAAAGAGACCCATTTACGGCCATGTCGCCCCCTAGGGGTGCCGTGAAATCGGATGCTCCAGTCCAGTTTCCAGGGTCGAAGCCAGACGGGATGATAGGTACAGCGACGCTGCTTTGAGAAGGCTCGAAGGTGAAAGCGAAAGCCGATGCTATCGGAGATGCTGGAACGGAAGAGCTATGATGAGAACTGACACCATCCATGGTGTTTTCACTTTCATCTTCATCATCGCTTTCGTGAGGCTGTGGCGAGCGAGGCGATATGATCTCAGAATCGTCGCTTTCGGAAGACTTGTCAGATATGTCGTTGTCTCCAGCGTCGTCTGCAGAATCATCTGATAGCTCTTCGTTACCCCCAGCAAGATCCCAGAGCTCGTCGGCAGTATTTGAGTCAAGACCATGGTCTTCAGAGGTGTCGTTAGGGTTGTACTGCGTTTCAGTTTGGTCATCGTCAGACTCGTCGTCTGAGCCAACGTCGACGCCACCATCACTATCGTCGGTCTCAATGGAGGGACAAGCATCTTCACTATCTTCGTGAGGATCGGAGGGCTCCGCCGATGCTTTGACTCTTGTCGGCGATTCAGTCTGCTTACTAGACGTAGCACTGTGCGCCTGAAGCTGTTGGACGTGATCAAGGAAGAGCTGTCGGCCGGTTCGACTGCCTTCAGGGTCGCCTTCAGACGAATCCCAGCACGTTTTCCAGTCGTCTAAGTCTTCCAGTGCCTCATCGATATCCTCGTTGTATGAAGTGTCGCAGTCTTCGTGCTCGAGCGACAAAGTCCAAATTTCGGACTCCCAAGATGATGCAAGCGCGACGACGTCGAGGTTCGTTGTATCATTCGCGGATCTCAGTAACTCGCAGATGCCTCGTATATGGCTTCGGAAGCCTCGACGGTTGTCTTTGCGCAGCTGCGCCTCTGATGAGAGGCCTTCTTGGTGGTAGTCCGCATTGAGTATGGCCTCGGTGGCTTCGGTGGCGGTGTCGGATTGAGTATATACATAGCTGAGGCTGGCTGGAGTGTCCGCAGAATGTGGTCCAGATGCGATGCTCTCCTTCTCTAGCATGTCGTAGTTCAATCTGTCCATCTCCCAAACGAACCATTCTTCACCTGTCCAATAACTTCCATCATCGACTGGCCAAGCCTCAGACCACTTCTTGTCGCACTTGGTGAGGAGTCGCAAGGTTGATCTGACTTCATCGTCGTACTTCTTCCTGTCGGAGCTTTGCATCGATCGGGTCCAGATGTCGGACTCCCATTGCTCAGCGAAGACCTCGGGCTCGCGTTGCATGATCGCGGCGTTAGGTGAACTGAGCTTCCTGAACCTGGAGAGCTTGGCAGCCAGCAGCTTGATAGCTTCCACGCGGAGGTTTTGGGTTTCCTCGGTCCGTACCCGCTCTATTGTGGCTTCCACACTTGGAGCATCTGTTGTCATGTTTTTGTCGGGTGGGCGCATCCCCGCAGTGAGACTGGGGTCGTAGAATCTTTTCTTTGCGCGAAGCGGTTTCGGAATGAAGCCAGGGTTGGCACAGTTTGTTGCATCTGGCTGGGCAGATGCGGGATCCGTACTGCGAGACGAGTCGTTCAGTTGAGACGACATGGTAACGCTTCGGGAGCGGAGAGTTGTGGAAAGATCGCTGAGATGAGCTGCAGGTTGTTTCTGTAGTGAGCCTTTCGCGTGTAGTATTGGGCGACGAGAAATGGAGAAACGAGGGGCGGGGTATTTGCGTGAATGTAAGGGGAATTGCAAGTTGCGATGAGCCTCAAGAGGTCGCAGTGGTTGACTGGGAGCCTATTGTTTCAGGCTCAACAATAAGAGCGGGCATAGCGACTGACGAGTGCATGGTGGTGGTATGTGCGCAGTGGAGTGAAATTGAAAGCAAAGACTGCTTCTGCTTCACAATATAGCGACCGTGTGTAAGGCCATGTAGTCGCCGATACTAGGGACGTGGGCCCCTTGATAACGGCTATGAGAACATCATGAGGTGTTTGATAGAAGATACAGAGAACAGGCGGCGATGGCCGCACATACTACCTTGAGCAAATGTGAAGACAAACATTGTTTCCAGTGTCCATAGCATTCGACCCGCCGACGATAACACGCCCGAAGTCCTGTTCCCTGCCATGTTGCCAATCTTGAGGTGCCATGTACAGGATGGATAGCTGGCCATGTCCGAGCAGACCAAGACTAGCCTATGGTGTGCATTCAAGGCTTGTGGAGCCTTCCAAGGGTCCATGAAGGCCGTTGCTGGAGATTGAGATGACCCAAAAGCTGACATCCGGGTCTAGGGTGTTGTCTTGGATGGCGTCCGACATACGCGGCTGACATTTCGGCCGCAATGTTCATTAGGCTACAACGAGCTAGTCCTCCATGATGGAGAGGCCCCGGCGATTGAGAAGTGACATCTTGGCTCCTTACAACGGCAGTTCGAAGATGAGAAGACGAGGCGCGGCGTTGTGAAGAAATGAAGTAGACATGTGCCGGAGGACGTGAGGTTTGGGAAATTAGTGGGCCGAAACTCAGCCAATAGGACGCGTCGGAAGCGCTGTCGCCCCGCCTCCCATTGTTTCTTCACGAGCTTTGCCACTTCGACTATGCTCAACCGATCGCAGCGTGTTCCGAAGCAACGACAGTCCAAAGGCGTTTGCTTGTGTGCTGAGCAAACAGTATGACAATGGATTCTGAAAATGCAGCTAAGGCATCTCATCGACCGATTGCTTCGGCCCGGAGGAAGGCGCCAGGCCGGGATACATTGCGACTAGCAGTTTTCCGAGCTGAACACGACAAACAGATGCAAACAACCTATCCTCGCCATATCAGTGCTTCTTCGAGATATTATCGGCTGTCGCGATCGTCGCCGCAGTTCTAATCCTTCGCGGTCGCCACAATCCTCACGATCGAGCATCTGGACCAGTCTGGAACTTTACACCCGGCGCGCCCCTCTGACAGCCCTTAGCTCCCGCTGTGTATCACACCTCAGCAAAACACTCTGCGCAACCTTTGCTTTCAATGCTGGGCAGTAATCCGACATACAGATATCTCGATGCATCTCATGGGCGGCCAGCGCGTTGCTTTCTTCCCGAAGGCAGATGCGGCCGTCCTCGCATCGAGGCATGCTGCGCCGGCATCGTCCGAGCGCCCGACCACCACCGCGCCAATACTTGATCTTGAGAATGCCGACAAACCCCTTGAGCCATGGACTGCGGAACAAGTCACGTCGGTGTATCCCAGCGATGGCGACATCTGGACACCAGCACCAATACCTGCCAAAACACTATGTCCACCTCAGTGCTCTTCGGATCGCTATCTCTTCCCAGTCTTGACCCGGAATGAGAGGCTGAGGCTGACATTGCTATACTACTATACTGGCGGGGCGCTTGAAGATGTAGAGTTGATGTCTCGCCTACAGGAAAAGGTTCATCTTGCGCATGAGACAGTAGGATGGGAGTTTGTCATTGCCGGCCTTCTCAACCACAGCACTTACACTCGGATGGTCACAGTGAACCTTCCTCTCGCGATATTACCACGTCGCGAGAGTACCTGCGCGCACACCATCAACCAACCACCAGGCGTAAGTCGGCACTCCTCTTTGTCACCGGACCACTACTGATATCTACAGACTGTCTTTGCGCTGCAGAATATGGCCGAAGATTGGCGCTTCGAGAAGTCACCGCATGTTGAACAGGGTGGCTTGCGCGCATATGCCGGTGTACCGCTGAGATTTGATACTGAATTCGGGGAGCACGTGGCTTTCGGCTCCCTTTGTGTCGCTTCTAATTCCCCGCAAGAGCCTCTCTCGCCATCGGTACAGCAGGCTCTTGCTAGGCTTGCTGACTGGATTGTTACGGATATAGTGCACAGTGCAAGAGCTCGCCGTCAAAAGGAACGTAGGCGGATGCTGGAACTGCTCTCTCAAGCTCAGCAGCAATGCGACAACCACCACAATATGGAGGAAGTGATCCCTAGAATGCTCGAGGATGTTTATCTTAATACGCAGGTGAGCATTCATCAGACCACGGACAGCCACATAACCTTCGTTGGTGGTACGAGATTTCGCACGTCAGAGCTGGAGCAAGGTCTTTGGGAAGATACAGCTTGTGAGTCATTTTAATAGATGCGAATATGACGTGTGCTGACTTTCGCAGATTTCGACTACGCCATCGAGAACCTCAATCATTTGGACATGACTGCGCCTCGGCCTGTACGGGCTATCGCGGCACAGTGCACTAGTCAGCGTGCAGCGATGTTTCTAGTAGTAGCCAGTAACGACCTCAAGATGGTCTTCGACGATATAGATTCTTGGTTCGTGCATATGTGTGCGGTAAGCAATGCTTGGCTCATCTTGGGGGATTTTGCTGACACCTCGTGACTTTTAGACAATACTATGTCGATATTGGCAAGGCCGCGCACTCCAGGAGGCGCTCAGCGCAAAGGAAACGTTCCTTCGCGGCATTACGCATCAGCTTCGAACTCCTATACATGGCATTCTTGGCTCTGTCGAACTTCTCACTGAAGAGCTAAAAGCTCGAAACGTGGTCCCTTCAACAGCCGCCTCATCACCCACTGCCAGCCCGGACATTGAACAGCTGGACCCATACACCTACATTAAGACCATCAAGACTTCTGCAAGAGAGCTGATCTCAACGGTGAATAATCTCATCAAGTTGAATCAGTGGGCAGATATTGCACAGGCAGAACGCGTTCTCACCATGCATACCGTCTCTGAGATTGAAGATGCCTTGCTGAAGGAAACCCTGTTAGGACTATCGGACGATCTTTCTACGCGGCCATCTATCGTAATACAACACCATCTACCGCCGAGTTGCGACCTGCTTGCTATCGACAAGCGGGTGTTTTTGGACTGTATCCAGCCGCTTATGGTCAACGCCGCTCAAAATGCTGCTGGCGGTATGGTAGCAGTGACTATATCAATTGAGGAGGGCTGCCAGTCTCTCGTCGTCGACGTCGAACACAGTGGGCGTAAAACACCCAAAGGGAATTACGACCGCGTGTTTGACGTACACGAACAGATCGATCTTAGCGGTACTGAGTCTGCTCTTGGTTTGACGCTGGCGAGTAAAGCGGCGACACTGTTGGGTGGTGAGATTAAGATGGTCACTTCACCCTACGGTGCAGGCTCGCACATCAGAGCGACGTTCAACGAGCCCGTCTGCGCAAGCTCATTCCCTGCGTCCCATACAGTGAAGGAAAGATTCAGTGAGCTTCCGCAAACCTTCCATCATCTCACGTCCAAGTCAGCAACGTCGTCTCTCGGCGACTACTTCACACAGTATCTTTCAAGCGCCGGTTGGACAGCGTCCAACACACCTAAGGGTGCTTTTGTAGTTGTCGACTACACACCCAATCTAGCGGAGCTCTACCGACACACGTCGAACATCGATGCTGACCAGGTCGCGATATGTCTTGTTCCAGAATGCGCATGCTTTCTCGACTTCCATACTGAACGTGTGCGACGGCAGGGTAATGTTGTATACGTTCAAGGTCCCTTTTTGTCGGAAACATTTGAACAAGCATTGAAGCACGCGGATGCCCTTTCGGCCGAATTCCGTGCCTCTGCTCTGGAGACGGAGTCGCGTGCGACCGGTGGCATCGTTATCGAGCCACCCAGTCAAGCTTCTACACTGGACTCGAACGAGCGCCCACAGCTCCCATCTGAGCGAGGTTCAATATTCCCCGACAAGCTTCAGAATGAACTAGTCCAGTCGGTACGGACCTTGCGCATCGAAACTAAGCCTCCGGCTTCCACGAAAGAGACCTCAACATCGAGCAAACCCCTGACACTCCTTGTTGATGACAATGCTGTCAATCTTCGTCTATTGGAGATGTACTGCAGTCGTCGTGGCATCCCATTTCGAAGTGCGAAGGATGGCCAGCAGGCAGTCAACATCTTTTCCGAAGCTCTCGTACCCAAGTACGACCCACTGTTACGACAAAATCTGCCCGTCCAACCATTTGGGCTTATCCTCATGGATCTTCAGATGCCGGTTTGCGATGGTATCGATGCAACGCGACAGATACGACGATTGGAGAAGCAGCATGGGTATGAACGGAGTGTCTTGTTCATCGTCACTGGTCAGGACTCCTCGAACGATCGCAAGGCCGCAGACGATGCTGGCGCAGACGAGTTCCTGACGAAGCCGGTAGGGCCCAAGGTTCTTGACCAGTGGGTAAAGAAGTGGTATCCCGATATCGAAATATGAAGGACTGGCTATCTCTTCGCGCGCGGAAGAATCTTTGAGTTCCTAAACTCACCATCCGAGGATTTGTGTACAGCACATCTACGAGATGCCATGCGCCAAGGCTGTGCCGATAGCTACATCCGCACCGGAAGTCACTCGCATCGAGAACCCAGGCAGATGATGCAGTAGTTCTCAGGGCCGCTACGCTCTGGATGTCGTATTGCCTGGGCATTGTCGAGCGCCTAGACATCACACACCGAAAGGCTTGACCAATCACTTGTGTGGTCAGGAAGATCGATAGAGAGACCAATTGGGTCATCTTTCTGACGCGTAGCCTTTGGTCATCACAAGCTAGCGAGACGGAATATGGCTGTTGATTGGAAGTGCCACCAGGCGATG